TCAAATGTCTCTCTGTGCAATCATAGTGTACTGTTACATTGATTCTGTTCCAAAGTAGGCAATAAAATTATCTGGCTAATTGTACTAGCCCTGTTTGCGTATACTAGTGCAGTTTGTTCTTGCCGAATTCGCCAGGCAACAGAAATACACTGACCAGCTCACGCATTATGAACTGGCGGGTAAATGCACTAGCAATGACGGCAAATTATTGTCAAATGTGATCCCAAGAAGAGAAAAACCCCCTGCGACCTTCTCGTTCAGCTGCCCGCCAACTTCGTTGCTGGCTGCCTCGATTATTAGCCTCTACGGGCTGGCCTCGCATCGCCTTCACTGCAGAAAGAAAATTTTTTTTTTAAAAACTCTGACTTCAGTGACTTCACTAGACAGCAGGATTATGAAAAGGTAAAAAGAGGATGACACCCAGGACAGAGCTGGTTCTTTTCCCCAAAGATCATGTACATGACAGGAAGAAAAAGGGCTCATGTTGATGCTGTTCAATAGTTTGTTATTTGCGAAGATGTACCAACCAGCCCAAATGGACACATGGCTGACATTAAGTGACTCTCCTATTTCAATCACTGAATCCTGTGTGCTTATATTTAAATGCATGTTAAAGAACCTCCCAGGGGAGCCCTCCATTATAACATCCCTCATAAGTATATGAAGTGGTTTTGGGACATGAAACCCAAACAATCACGTTATTAGGGAGTTTTGAGGGAGGCTCAAAAGTTTGGGGAACCAAAGCCGTATGCATGCTTTGGGTCAAGCAGGAGCGAAGTGTTTTCGAATTGGGTCTGCGGTGCTTTGGACACTCCCCCTATATTTTATGTCATTCCCGTCTTAGCTGAGAGCCGTCACTTCAGAGGGTGCCGTCATGTTTGTCTGACGCAAAGCTTTTGGGGCAGGCTTTGGGGCTTCTGCTTAATTCGAGAAATAGCGTCCCCAACACAAAACCCAAACCCTGTTTGGGTACCGCGCATGCACAGTGGGCTTGATGCTATTTCTTTGGTTACCAAAACGATTGGAGCCCCCACTCGGAAACTCTCTATTATTACCTGAATTACTACAGACAGCAAGCTTATATAAAAATACTATACATTTCTAGTCATCATGGCAGGTGCACAGTGACCGGGCAGGCATTGTAAATATGCAAGCAGCTATGTCTGTACATGCCAGTGCTTAACATCTTGTAGTAAGCCTGTAATGCAAATAGCACCAGAAGTGCTACTGCGCTCATTGCTTTTTGTACTGTGTCCAATTCAATCCCAGATGTACTCTATCCATAACGTTGTGGAAAGTCGCAGGTGCTGAGCAAAAGACCTAAGACCTTGAACTCAAAGAGGCTGTCTTTTGTTGTAAAAGCAGTCTTCTCACATTACCTCTCGTCTAGGCTTGTGCGAATAGTCAAATGCTTCAAATATTCGAATGAACAATGCACCATTCAAATTGACTTCGAATCGAATTCAAATTATTGAAAATTTCAAATTATTTTGAACGATCAAATAGATGCATATTAATCCGCATGTAACATTCTGTAAAAGTGGTTTCACTGCAGTGAAGAAGAGCTAAACCGTGAAAACGCCTCATGTAAAAGTAGTTTCACTGCAGTATTGTAGTGATAAGCCGTGAAAACGCATACCTAGAAAAAATCCGCTCTGCCACGAAGCCTAACTTCAATATTAAATAAAAATATTACTCTCACATTGATTCATTTTTTCAAGTTCAAAAGCTTGTTATACCGACTTGCATGCTAAAGTATAGCAAATTTTAAAATGTCACTTATTTTACAGTTTATCCCTAGCATTCTACCGTAACTTAAATACTGCTACTATTAAAAGTTGTTTCCACTTCCATTGATGCAAAAATATGAGAATTTGCACAGGCCTTCTCCCTTTTTTTTAAAAAACATTGTGCTGCTTTGTCGGGCCATGACAAATATGCCCATTTTACTTTATAGTATGCGATATATATACCATTCAAATTCGATTTGCACAAGCCTACTCTCGTCGACTTCGATTTGATAATAGGCGGCCCTGAGGTGCATTGATGAAAGGTACTTCTTCCTGTGGAGTCAATCCAGGGCATCGTATGTCCGCGGGAGAAGGTGCAAGTCCTTTTTTATGATAATACTTTGATTTGGCAATAGGCGGCCCTGAGGTGCATCAATGAAAGGTACTTCTTGTTGTGGAGTCAATCCAGGGCATCGTATGTCCGCGGGAGAAAATACAAGTCCTTTTTTTATGATAATACTCAAGCAGCAATAATCGATGCAGAAACATAAATCTTCTTTCACTAGCACCACGGGAGATGCCCATGAACTCTTAGACGGCTGAATGACGATGTAGTACAGAATCTCGCTGACTTGTTTTCTTACAGTCTCGTGTTCTTGCTCTAAAACTGTACTGGCTCTGACGAAGTGGTCTGGCACTTTCCGCTGTTGCGATGCGGTGTTTCGCAACTGGAGTCTGCCAAATTCTTGACAATGAGAAGCAGTCCTTGTATAGCAAGAGCCGGGTTTTAGGCTGTTTTTAATTATGCTTCGGATGGCTGGAATAAAGGTCAAAAAATTGTTGATGACCTTGATATTTAATTTCATTCATGCTATGTTTGCATTCATTCGTCTGATTTTTATTCATCCTATGTCTTAGTGAACTAATGGAGACGAATCAACACCAACTAGCCCACCTTATAGCTCCCCTGGGGCGCAAAGTTTTCATAAAGCTTTTGCCTTACCCACAACATATCGCCACACACTGTCCTTTTTTTTCTGTATAAGTTGTACGTTGCTGGCCTATTGCACCTATTGATAATGCCTTACTCAAAGCACGTCAGAATGTCTGACAGCATTCCAAATTACGCATTGACAGCCTCTTTCGGCCTCCTGTTCACTGAAGAGCCAATAAAAGTGCTTTCTTCTGACGCATTCATTTAGTCCGAATTATTGGTCGTCGACTGTATTTCAGGATCATCTCATAGGCTTGAGCAAGCAAACACTAAAAGTTTAGTTCATTCTCAAACAAACACGGCCACCAGTCAAAATACTTGAATGTTAGCTGCCGCATCTATAAATGCCGACACGCCTCTTTGCAGATAAAATTATCGATGGCCGTGCCCTGTACGCTGCAATCAGTGTCAATGTGTATTGCTGTAATCTAACTTTTTATTTACCAGCCACAAGTTTAGCCAAATTAACAGTTTCATTTTGGACCTGCCGGCTGCTGCTTTTGTCAACATCTCGACCATGTGACAATATATACATGCACAACATGAGTAAAAGAGCGACAGAGAGTAGTGTGTTATAATGAATTTTAACAAGTCACCACCTGCGATATTGCATTCTTCGGCCTGGTCTTTGATGTCCTGGTGCCTACGCTGCACAAGCTTCTCACTGCGCTGAGAAAGCAGAGACATCATACGCCCCTCCAAGGCCAGGATCACGGGTATCTGTAATGTGTGACAGAGGACACAATATGCACCAAACTCCCTTCTGTGTGCTTCCTTAAGTAATAACATTAAGTGGTAGGAGGATCATGTCAGACATGTCAACAACACAAGAAAACCCTACGGACTTACAATAAATCGGTTTATACATGGGTGAAATACGATTTAAAAGCTCTCTTTCTAAATTTTGTTGGCTGGAAAAAAATTCCAACAGAAAAAGACAAGCTCAACTAATGTTTCCTTGCTGGAATTTTGTCCCAGAACCTGTGTTATGGAAATAAAACTGGTGTCACTGATTTCAATATCATCTCTGACAGCTTGGCCTATCTGACATAGAAACATATTTTTTAAAATATGAGTTCCAGTCCTCCTTTCTGATCTAAATATTATCATAGAAGAGCAAAATGTATGTACACACGTCTGCAGGACAAACTTTAAGAAAATTCTTACTGAACTTCGTAGTCAAAAAATTTAAGAATTTCCATATGAACCCAATCTTTCCTAGCAGCATACCATTTTTATAGCTTTTCAATTCACAATAATAATGGCGTGAAATTCTATGCTGAAATTGAGCAAAAATGCTATTCTAACACCTTTCTATCAAACCATACCTTGTGGTGGCTTATACAATTTTGCAAAAACAAACAACAAAATAGCAGGCTACTGAAACATTACAAAAATATAAAAAATCGTCGCACACCGCAATAAACCCAGCTGCCTTACTTTTTCATCCTTGCTCACAAGTTAAACTAAACATAAGCGGACAGCAGCAAAGGAGTACCATGGGATAATACTTGTGATTACTTCATTCCAGGAAAGCTTAACTTGATTATAACTGTCCTGAATCAAGCAACATTTCATCTGAGTATCACACATTCATACCCCGGTTTTTCCGCAGCAGCCCCCCAACTCCCAACTCACTCTCTTACAGACAGTTGCAGCAGATTTTCCTCAAGGTACACATACTGTAAAAAACCTTTCTACAGAAATTCCGTAACACTAGGCTTGTGCGAATATTTTAACACTTTTAATATTTGAACAAATGTTACATTATTAGAAATTTATTTGATTAAAATTTATATTAAGAATTTCAAAGCATTAAAATTAAACGAATTAATGTACAGTATATTAGTCTGCACTTACCTCCCTATAAGAGTGGTTTCACTACAGTGGAGGGGTGCTATACCATGAATAAACTGAAATAAAACCCTCACTGCAAAACCTAACCTTATGGTTAAATGAACACGCTACCCTCACACTGATTCAACATTCTTTAAGTTTGAAAGCTTTTTATAGAAGTTTATACAGGTTTTTATACAGGTTGTCACTTGCATTTTACCGAAAGTCAAACCCTGCTACTACTATTCAAGGTTGCTTCCAGTTCCCTTTGAGACAAAAATAATACGTTCGCACGTTTGTCTCTTTTTTTTCTCCTTTTTTTTCTTTTTTTCGTTTTGGAGGTCTTCAAACTGTGAGGGTGGCCCTCTGCTACGGGAACTTGTATCATTTCGCTTAGATCCTCTGAAGAAGGCTGGTCCACCGGCTGAAACTGTTAGGATTAAACAAACATTTTATTGTTTCGTTTTCTATACTGCACAATTCTCGAAGTTTATATATATATATATATATATATATATATATATATATATATATTTATAAGAGAAATAAGTGTGCACTTAAGGGCTAGTTTTTTCGTTTTTTCATGTTTTGAACCATATTAATGGGATCTAACAGACAATAATACCAAGGAAAAAATAGAGGAAGTTATTAGACCGAATTGTCAAATCAGTTCCTGACCACTGCAAGTTATCTTTTCACCCACTTGTCCTCCTTCGCATTTACTATACAAATCTGTCCAATAACTTCCCTTATACTTTCCTTGGCATTATTATTTGTTAGATCTCATTATTATGGTGTTAAAACACACAAAAAAACTACCCTTAAGCATACACTTCTTTCCCTTATTAATTACAGAGGTTCTCGTACTGGCAGACTTGGTGCCTTAGGTTGTATACGAGGGACTATTGGTCAGCTGCTAGCTCGTAATAAGTTCATGTGCTACATGACGCCAAACAGGCTCATAAAGAGTGTGCCACACTCCCCGCCATGGCTACTGGTGGCGCTCACTGACACAGCCAGGCACAGCCTATAGCCAGCATATAGCCAGGCACAGCGCCTAAAGCGCTGTGCCTGGCTATATGGAATTCCAGTCTTCCAATGGCGCACGTGGCTACTTTCAAAATGAAGAAAATTTAACACTGTTTCAGCTGGAATCAACGAAAACAAAGGAAAACTGACCTGTCTTTCACTAGACTAAGAGCGATGATGCACTGGTTTCAAATTGTACCACCTAAATCACGCCTTCTATGTCTGCCATTTTTATTTTTAGTTTTTATTTATCTTCAATCATTTCACAGTTGCTTCCATTATACGTTCACATATCACTAAGATTGTTCTTATGCTGCCAAGCAATGTCATTGCACATCTACATCTCTTAACCTCGTATAAGCATGGTATCATGTCACAGTACATGTAAGGGAATCCTTAACTATGTCTTTAGTATGTATGTACCCTTCTGGTTTTCGTATTTTTTGTATTTTTTTCTGAAGCACTTGACATTTTATGATGCGCATTGTAATGCTAACCAGAGCAGATGGCGCTGATCTGTTATTGAAAGGAGCTTTTAAAGCCATGTATGAGCTGTTGTCACATTACTCTGACGAAGGCTGGTCCACCAGCTGAAAACGTTTAGTAAAGACGCTTCCACGAAAGCTTCGTCGTCTCTTTCTTGCCTACAATACGTCGGGTCCAGCGTGAATGACGTTCAAAGAATCTGGTATATATATATATATATATATATATATATATATATATATATATTGCAGGGTGGTTGGGTCCTGACAACAAGAAGTGCTATATACTATTGAAATTCAATTCGAAGCTATTCAACCAAATCGCTATTTGCTTCCAGCCTAAAATTTGCATTCACACAAGCCTACGTAACAGGAACTATCCATGCTACCTGCATGTACCTGGGCTTCACAGCATGAATGAAGGCAATAGGTATTCACAAACCTTGGCATCAAGGCATTCAATGAGATCAGCAGCATATGACTGCATCTCTTGGAAGAAGCGGAAGTTTGTTTCCAACTTAGGCTGCTCCTGGTGCAGCTGTGTAGTGGTCTCCGCCGACACCTCCAGGTCGTGAGCGCCTGCTTTTTCTGCCGTCGATGCACGGCTAGCATTTCACGAACTGTGGCAAGCCTGGAATGGTGACCACATGCTTTCAATAAAGTTGCCAATAACTCTTAAAAATGACTGCAGTTTACTCTACAAGTTCACCTGCAAATCAAGTAAAGAAAACCCTTGTGTAAACATTCAAGCAAATAAACATATTACCCTCACATCGACTATCATTTTTAATGTTTAATCACCCGGTAGACTGAGTATAAGCTCAAAGTATTGCAAATTTTAAAAGGCAACATATTTTACGAACTATCACTTGCATTCTACTGAAAGTTGAACCCTGCAATCATTCAAGTTCTTCCCACTTCCTCTGAACCAAAAACAATGACACTTGCACATGCCTTGTTTGAATTTTAAAAAAATATTGTGCAGGTTTGTTGGGTCATGACAAATGTACTCACTTTTCTTATAATAAGTAATAATATATGCTATTTCAATTTTATTAGAAATTATGCAACCAAATTCCTTTTCACTCTGAATCACCTTCGAACCTAAAATTTACTAGTTGCACAAGTCTACTAAAAAAACCAACCGCTCTCAGCAATTGCTCTACGTATTGACAGTGATGGGTGCAATTTGATATAAACAATGACATGTTCTGAAAAAAAAAAAAACTAATCAAAGTTCTGATAGCGTGTGTGTAATTATTCTGCGTGTGCTGTGCAATACTTCATGGTGATTGATTCTGAATGAAAAACTGCTACGCTTAACTTTGGCAATACATGACATCTATCGCTGCACATACTACACTAAGAAAAAACTCCGCTTTCTCAAAGCTTTAACGAGATTATGAGAGTCAAGTTACTCGGACAGTTGACTCATAGGCACTAGGTAACATTGTACAATGATAGAGCAAATTGTAGCCGAAAGTCCTGCCAAATTTACTCGAAGTAACTTATTGCTCCTGAGGGAAGCGTGCACTTTCTGGTACACAATGAGATAGATACTTGTAGCCCAAAATTAATATGGACAGAAGAACTGCAACAATGCACGTTTTTGTGCTTTGTTGCTTCTTTTGTTTTCCTATTTTTACACTAATGCCCTGGTATTTCTCCTGTTTGCTTCACATGTCTTCAGCAAATCATACTGATGTCTCACACTTTTCTTCATCTGTTATATGACAACCTTCTAACCCTTTAATGCCTGAATTATAAAACTGCTAAACAAAATACAAATTCTTTTCATTTCCCAGCTTTAAATGATTCCACAGTTAAAGTTCTCTAAAATGCAACTTTAATGCATAACTTTATGTATGTTGCCGATTCTCCATATGCCGCAGAAGCTGTGGGAATCGAGAGCGCCCTCCTACCTGGCGCCTCATTCCCCAGCTACCGCACGCGCGCCACCAGCATAGCCAGGGCGCACATAAGCACCGGCATCCGTCAAGATGGCTGTCAGGGTGCCTCTTGGTCTGGGCCAGTCAATCGTTGGCTTCTCTACACGCATCCTACACGGTTGCGCATAGTAGGTAAGCCTAGTGCAAACCTATCTCTACATAACTGGCGCCCAACTTGGTTTCGGCATGGCTTCAGAGCAGACCCCTTCGAGGCGCTCGTTCCTGTTCGATCCTGTGGCGATGGACTTGATCTCGTTCGAGGCGGACGGCTGCAACAGCACGGGGTACAGCCCTCTCGGCAACTCTCTGCTTTCGTTCACTTGGAGAGATGCCTTTTTCGGGGCCCCCTACGGTGATGCGAGTCGCTTGAACGAGGACCACAGTCCTAGCCAAGCCAGTAACGGGCTGTATAAGCTGTTCGAGACACACGCGCTTACGGGCCCGTCCCTGGCGCAGTCTCCGCTCACTGGCCTTTCCCCGTCAGCAGCACGGTTGACAGCTCAAATCGCCGCACCCAGTCCTTCCTACCGAGGGCACTCAGGTGTTGGCGCGAACGCGCTTACTGACCCGTCGTGGTCGCGAGCGCAAAGGGTTTGTCATTTGTCATTTGTCATTGCAAAGGTTGTCATTTGTCAAAGGGCATGTCATTTGCGAGCCTGCTTGCTTAACCGACAACGTCGCCCCGTTCACCGACGCTCGCTGGCCTGAGACTCGCGTGGGCGACGCTTTCGACGGACGTGGGCCACCGTGCTCCGCTGTCGACCCGTTTACAAGTCACGTGAGGCCTAAAGCACCAGTCGGAGCGCAAACCCTACCCTCCTCCGTGCCGTGTACTGGCCCTTTTCGGTCGGACGCGCATGTGGGGGAACAGGCGCGCCCACCTGTTACGGCCGCACCCGCATCGGAGCAGTGACCGCTGCACGCAACTGCGGCGCAGCTCCTAAACGCTGTGTTGGAAGCGGTGCGCTTGCAGCCTTGTGCTTTAAAGGGAGACCCTGAGTCCCCTCAGCCAAGCGTTCCGAGTAGCTTAAAGGTACCTCTGCCTGAGTACAGAGGTTATTCGGACCGCATCACTGCCACAGAGTACCTCAAGGCGCTGCACCGCTTTCAGCAGGCTACGCGGCTGAGTGACAGCGTTATGCTAGGCTCTGTTTTGCCCGTCTTGCTGACAGCCCAAGCAGCGATGTGGTACCGGCTCGTCGGCCACCAAGCTCGCTCGATGGAGGAGTTTAGGGCACTCTTCCGTAGCGAATTCCTTCCTCCTGAATACGAGCGCCACATGCGTCGCGAGTTAAAGCTTCGCACACAGCATCCCGATGAATCTCTTCTCGAGTACGTGCTGGCTCTGCAGGAGCTCTACTTGCCGATCCTACGGCATCAGATACCGAGAAGGTGGAGCGAGCCATACGTCAGGCTCATCCAACCTTCGCCGCTTACCTTCGGAGCGCCCGTTATCGTGACCTAAACGAGCTGGCATCCGATGCGAAGCCTATTTAGGGCGACATTTTGGCGGCTTGAGCCTATCGCCCGCCGCCACTGCCGTCCGCGTCTCTCGAGCCTCGTTGTGCGTGGGCTGGTCCTGACTCGTCACACTGGGGTTCCCCGAACCATGACGCAGCTTCTGCCGTGAGAGGCCGAGACGCGCTCGACGTGTCGGACTGCGCTCTGGACCTGTACTCGTACGCCCTGGCGGCCACCTTTGCCCGGCAGCGTGAACAAGAACGGAAACCTCGTGCTCCAGTGCACGAGGGGATATCCGATCGCGGAGCCCCCACTGCGGCTAGCGAACGGACACCTCATAGCTCGAACGGATCGCCAAAATCCCCCCCTGTTAAAGGAAAAGGTGTTGTCTGCTTCCGTTGCCGTGAGCATGGTCACACCGCGCGTGAGTGCAACGCGCCCCAACCGACACAAGGACCAGCTCGCCCGTCGGGAAACGGGGTGAGCCATCGGTGAGCTCCCCCTTGCCGGTGGCTGCAGCAGTAAGAGAGCACGGGGGTGTAACACAACCTCTGGCACCGATGGCGTGTCGCGCTGGACATGACATTTCAGCCACGCCGGCGCTGTTCATCGCCCTTACGATCGCTGGTCGAGAGTTTGCGGCGTTGCTGGATAGCGGGCCTTCGATCTCGCTGTTCGGCGAAGAGGTTAGGGCTTATTTGTGTGACCGCTTTGTCCGCATTCGAGCTTGCAACACTGCCTTCCACTTCGCCAGCGGTACCGCCACCTTGTGCGGCGCTGCGAGGTTGGTTAAGCGTTGGGAGAATCACGCACGCCGACAGCGCTTTGTGCATTTCCCTGGTCTTTCCGTGCTTGTGATTCTCGGTCGCGACTTCGCGCACGCACAGGTATCGTGATTGACGTCGCAAGCGGAGGCTACAGGGACGGCTCTTCCGGCGCCCTATGGCCTTTCACTGCACCTCCCGTGGTCTCAGCTGCCAGTAAGTCACCGGACGCCACGAGGAGGAAGGAAGAAAGGAGACCAAGCGTTGCCCCCGCGGCCCGCGTCTCCCCCTCCGACGCCAAGACTGGTCCTTTGGCCGGCGCGGCGGAAAACGGTCTGTGCATACCAGCTTTTTCTTGAGCATAATGCTGCCGCGGTGAACGAGGTCTCGGCTATGACGGTGACCCCCCCGCTAAGCAGCAACTTGAATAGCTCGCTGCCGCCTTTCCCAGACAGCTTGTCAAAACGCAAGAGAGCACGCCTGTCGTCGCTGTTGACACGTTTCAGCGACACATTCACAGAACGCCCGGGTTGCACCTCTCTGGTGAGGCACCGGATTGACACAGGCGACGCACAACCATGGAAATGCAATCCTCGCCCCGTTAGTGCGGCAAAGAGGAAAGCAATTGACCAGGCACTGGATGAGTTGATTGAGACCGAAGTTGTCCAACGCTCAAACAGTCCTTGGGGTTCAGCGGTGGTAATGGTCCCCAAAAGAGATGGCTCTCATCGGCTCTGTGTGGGCTACCGCCGGCTGAACGAGGTCACGAGGAAGGATGCTTATCCTATGCCTAACGTTGACTCGATCGTGGCTGCTCTAGACGGTGCTTGCTACTTCAGCACCTTGGATCCTAGCCGTGGTTATCTACAGGTTCAGATGGAGCCGGTCGACGCGGAGAAAACTGCGTTCACCTCTCACAGAGGTTTGTACGAGTTTACCCGCATGTCGTTTGGCTCTTCTGGAGCTGCAGCTACGTTCCAGAGATTGATAGACCGCGTTCTGGGGGACGCTATATGGCAACACGCCATGGCGTACCTCGACGACATCATCATCTGCTGTCGAACGTTTGAGGAACACCTTCACCACATGGAGGATGTCCTCGGGAGGTTGCGTGCCGCTGGGTTGACTTTGAACCCAAAGAAAGCTCCAATAGCTGAGACTAGCATTTCACTATTAGGCTTTTTTATTCAGAGCGGTCGTGTTCTGTCGTGCGAGGAGAAGGTACATGCCATTGTGGAGTTCCCGACGCCGGCAAACATTCAGGGCCTGAGTCGCTTTTTGGGCATGGTGAACTACTATCGACAGTTCATCACAAACTGTGCGGCCCTCCAAGCGCCCTTGACTGCACTCTTGAAAAAGTCGGCACGATGGAGCTGGGGGCCAGAACAAGAGCGAGCCTTCAAGGCGCTTTCCGAAGCTCTAGTGTCCACAGCTGAGTTAAAGCTGCCCGACCTGAAAAGGGAGTTCGTTGTCCAAGCGTATGCGAGCGACCTGGGTTTCGGCGCGGTACTCCTTCAGGAGCCCGACGGCGTCCTCCGGCCAGTCGCCTTTGCGAGCCGGTCACTTAACGCCGCCGAGCATAACTATAGCGTCACAGAAAGGGAATGTCTCGCTATAGTTTTTGCTCTCCGGAAGTTCGACTGCTATGTCGACGGCATGCCATTCGTGGTGGAAACGGACCACATGACACTCACCTGGCTTAAGCGCTTGCGCGAGCCCTCAGGCCGCCTCGCGCGCTGGGCGTTGATCTTGCAGCGGTACAACTTTGTTGTGCGCTACCAAAAAGGGAGTTCGAACGTCGTGGCTGACGCCTTGTCGCGTGCCCCCGTTTCGGCGTCCGACACTTGTGTCCGTCACTCCCGAGAGCAATCGCATCAAGTAGACCCCAGGCCCTCTGGCTCCAAAGGGTCGAAAGGTGCGAACCCCGATGCCGAAGTGACTTTCGAGTTTACAGCCTCGGGTGAGGACTCATACCTGGTAGACCCTGTCACCTCCGCCGGTATCATCGTTAGCAGAGAGGAGCTGCTCAAGGCACAGCAGGACGATCCGTTTTGTCAACACATCATTGACGAGCTCAAAGAGCTGAGCTCCCAAGCGGAGCGGGGCAGTCAAGCCACCGGGCGCGAACAGATAGCTGGTATTGCTGTCGGCGCCGAGTGCCGTACACAGGCTGGTATTGCTACGGGCACGTTGGACTCGTACCTGCTTGATGACGACGGCGTTTTCCTGCGCTACGTCTCATCTGAAGAAGCTCCCCAGGAGTCTTTCAAGGTGGTGATACCCCGCAGTCTAAGGAAAGCCACCTTAGGTTATTTCCACGACTCGCGGTTGGCCGGACACGCGAGTGGCCTTAAAACTTTTCAAAAGTTGTGCCGCTGCGCTACCTGGCCTGGCATAAAGCGCGACGCCCTTCACTACGCCCGCTCATGCCGCGTGTGCCAATGCGTGAAGCCTCGCGGGAGCAAGCCTCCCGGGCTCATGCAGCCGATCGACAGCCAACAGCCTTGGCAGGTCGCGGCCTGTGACATTATGGGACCTTCCCAAGAAGCCGGAGAGGCCATATTTTTCTCCTGGCTGTCAACATCACTTCACGAAGTGGGTCGAACTGTTTCCACTTCGGAAGTTAACAGCACGCGTAATCTGGGACAAGTTGACCGAGGTCTTTACCCGCTTTGGCTTTCCGCCGGAGTTGATCACGGACAATGCATCCTATTTCACGGCCAAGGTGTTTGTGGATGCGTGTGCTGCCTTTGGCATTAAGCACCATAAAACAACCTCGTGTCACCCACAGGCCAACCCGACCCAGCGGATCAACCGGAACATCAAGCCCTTGCTGACAGCCTTTGCGCAGCAACACGGGGATTGGGATGCTTGTCTTAACGAGATTGGCTTCTCCTTGTGGTCTACGGTCAATCGCTCGACGGGGTACATGCCCGCTTTCCTCAACTTTGTGAAAGAGCTGCCTAACCCCATGGACCGCGTCCTACGGGGCGACGGCGGGGCAAGCGCCGCGAAGGTCAGCCCGTCTGGCTACGTGGCGGAACTGCGCTCACGGATGGACGCGGCCCTCGACTTGGCGCGTTCCAACCTGGCAAAAGCGCGAGCTGGTCAGAAGGCTCAGTACGACCGGTCGCATCGGGATGTCCGTTACGATGTCGGCGTTCTCATCCTCAGGCGCAATCACATCTTGAGTGACGCCACCAAAGGCATCTCGGCCTCCCTTTCGGCCAAGTGGTTGGGCCCATACCGAGAGCACACCAAAGTGTCCCCCTGATATACAAGCTGGCCGACTTTTAAGGGAGACCAGTCGGCAGTCCAGTTAACGTCTCCGACCTCAAACCTTTTGTTGCCCGCAGCAACGACTTTGGGGAGGGGGAGGCGGTCACCGAACCGCAGGGAAACCGGGATAAGGCTGGTTCCAAACCCCGCCACCGGTACAACCTGCGAAAATGCACCTAGGCTGATTTTCGCCCCTGGCATGTAGCGGGATGTTATCCCCTCCATGTAAGGGAGCGAAGATTTATAGCTGCTGTGCGAGAGCCCATCCAGCAGCAACAGTAACGGCTACCTGGCGAGCTTTCTCTCTGGGAACACCATTACACGTGCTGTGCGCGGAATATCCACCCAGTTCCCAGCACTCCCGTCTGCTCGAGAGAGAAAAGCCCTTTCCCCGGTGGCTCACTATCTCACTGGGTATCTTCCACGTAGTCGGCGGGAGAAGGGAAGCGTGCGCCCTATTGGCTCACGCAATCTTCAATCCGACAAAGTAGGCTCTCTTTATTGGGCCAGCCAGTCGCGCCTCCGGGGCCGCACCTTCAGTGCATTTCTGCTGTTCACCGACACCTCAGCATTCGTTATGTCCTGCTCGATGACCCGTTTTTCCATGAAAAAGCCCGGGAGACAAGCCGCGCGCTCGGTGATTCCACAGGCACCGGCCGCGTCCATGCCGCCTCCGTCGAATGCTCCCCTGGCCCCGGCTAACAAGACACTGCCTCGTCGTGAAGTCGCTACGTGGACGTTCCAACATGACACTGAGGCCCCGGTTGCCTTCGTGTCGACTCGTCGCTGGTCCAAGCACCGCAAAGTCTGGGTGGGGTTAGACCCCGTGTTCGTCCCGCGTCCTTTCCGCGGACGCACCCTTTCGGACCTGCTCGACGCTTCTGGAGGTGCCTCGATGCCGCCTGAGGCCTCCTACTGCGACGCTTGTGGTGTTCTGCTGGTGCACGAGGCTACCAACCTCCGTTCGAGGGTTCACCGAGCGAAGTCCGGCGGTGCCCCTGCGGTCATGTCCACTCCGGCGGTGCCGCCTGGCCCGGGCCTTCAACCTGCCCTGTCGACTGACTCTGTTCAGGCGGTCGTGGCAGCGCTCGTCACGGACTCTTCATTCAAGTCGGCCATCGCTGCTGCGGTGTCCGCCGCCCTCCCCCGGCCTTACGCTCCTGCTGAGATGCCGCCAAACGAAGACATCGGGGCGCCCGACGATCTCATGAACGGCATGAACCTGGACCCCAGTTTTTTTGGTGTCGATGAATGCTGTCATTACAGTGTCATTAGGGCAGCCTCGGTCTTAGGAGGAGGTGATGTGAGAATCGAGAGTGCCCTCCTACCTGGCGCCTAGTTCCCCAGCTGCCGCACGCGCGCCACCAGCGTAGCCCGGGCGCGCATAAGCACCAGCATCCGCCAAGATGGCTGCCAGGGCGCCTCTTCGTCTGGGCCCATCAACCGTCGGCTTCTTCCCGCGCTGGCATGTCCGGGCACGCTGCACTGGTGCGCTGCGCGGGCCTACGTCACAGCGCAGCGCCATTTCCCATTGGGCGCGCGTAACATCCTCCTCTCCTACAAGCTGTGTTGCGCCCGACGATTCGCTCGTCGCGGCAGATGCTCTCAGGCCTTCACGAGAGGTTGACGCGCTGCTAAGCAGGCGGCTTCTCGTTCGTGCGTTCAACTTCGTCCCTTGTGAGAGAATCGTCGTGCCCTAGGCAAGCGTACTTGCTCGGTCTTGCGGAGTTTCCTATACAGCCTGCAAGCCCGTGAGTGTCGCACTGTGCTGCATCTTGGGTTAATAAACACGTTGTCGTTGTTATCCTGCCTCGTGCCTGGTTTCTGCGCCGTGCCGGAGAAAATGACGAACCCGGCCGCAACGTCTTCGCACGCAGCGGCACTGGAGGACGTCTATTCACTACACGGATGCGCATAGTAGGTAAGCCTAGTGCAAACCTATCTCCACAAAGCAAGGACCCTGCCAGCAAAAAATGTACTTCAGAACTACGTAACACATTGTGAGCCACCTCTTAGGTATGTATATATATACACACCAAATAAACAAAATTATTGAAGATAGAAGCTGCATCATCCAGGTGAGAAAAAACTAAGACGTGTGAGCTGTTGCATGCGTTCCACCCTTGCCACCATCACCCATCACCATTCATCACAAAACAATCGGTTCTAGCATAAAATACCTTAGTCGAGATGGCACCAGAATTTTTATGCTGAAAGCTATATTTTCTATGAGTACTTGAAAGACAGCACACATTTCGTGACTCGGTTGCTCGAAGTTTTTCGGTATGACGAGAATTCGTGACACTGGGCTGTAAAGGTTTATATTTGCTCGGAAGTCACTGAAGCTATGCGTAGTGTAAAAATAAACAAAAATGCAATATAAGGTGACATCAGAATACTTGCAGTTTGCCTTGCCCACTTAAATTTATGCGCAAACATGGCCGCAAAAAATTAGATTTGCGAGAGAGTGTCTCACCGATCTGTTATCCGCTCGAGCACAGCCTGTGAGCTGAGGTTTTGCCGGTCCTGGACCGACACAGCAGTCGGCTGCTCTGTGAATTATGTTAGCACCACACACTGTTCCTCTGGTGTTGGGACGGCTGCAACCTGCATACGAGAGCTTGTTGGCATTGTAGCACACAGTTGCATGCAATTAGACATGAAGACACAATGTCAAGCTACAGTAAACATTCACAGTAGAAAAGTACTAACCCCCTAGGGCAGAAAATTTAAATTCGTTATAACCAGTGTTTCACTAACAGTGAAATAGTTATATAAAAGTCACACAGTTGAAACATGGGGCCACGAAGAACTTCGAATTGAGCACTGTTCCGAATAACAAAAATCTGCTAAAATCACTGTGATTTGAAGTTTACCCATCAGAAATGAAACAGGTGAATCTGTTTTTCTCGCGCTGGATTATAACCATTCAGGAAATAGTGTATCTGTTCTTTTTATGTTATTTTGGCAGTGCACATGGGCATTTCGTACTGAAGAAAAGCAAGGGGTAGTATGGTAGTTTGATACTGCTTTCCTAGAATGGCTACATCACTTTAACACTAGCCCTTCAGTGAGATTTCATCACTTAATCCAAAATGATAATAAAAGGCTAATCATTCAAGCACTGCCCCATATGAACAAACCTCAAAAAGTAGAGATTACAATGTGATTAGTTCACAGAAGTTGTTCTCATTTGTATTCTACAGAGTGCACAGATGTGGGGCACCTTTCCTGTCTATTAGATGCTATTGGTTCATACCTCTGCAAGCAGGAAGATTTTTATACTTTTTAAATTTTCCTTTCAAAACCTTGCCCTTAGGGGCAGTACAATCGAGCATTATGGATACACTAACAAATTTTCTTAATGCAAAAAGTTAAACAGCCAGGAATAAAACGGTCCAAAAGTCATACGATGAAATTCATGACTTAAAGGAGCAATGGCACAAAATTTGAAAGGCGAGATAATGAGCGAGATAGATTTGTGTGGAGATATACACAACATCTACGAAATACCAAGGGCAAATATAGCCTAGACCATATTCAAAATTAATATCAAAGTGCACACGGTGCAACCCAGCAAGATGCAGAGCCCTTCCAAATGCTGACATCAACACAGGGGCAATGTAAACAAACCTAAGTCATGAGTTCGTGTTGGCTGGCTGCACCTTGTGCTTGCACTACCTGTGATTTCCACTTCTGCCCTTGCGGCTTTGTGTGCGCTGGCTGTCAGTGTGGCACCTGCTCTCGCGTGCAGCGCCCACGTCACAGTTTTGTGAAGTCACAAGGCCATCTGTGTTTACCTTGACCCCGGGAGTGCTCCTATCTAGCTCGATGCTCTGTTGAAAGCAAAGTTGAGATGGGCACTTAAAACGTCACTAAAGTAACTGTCGTGCACTCGCGGGAACGAGGTTTCTAGCCGCTGTAAGTGGGTCATAACCTACCTATTCGAACAAAAAAACACACAAAAAACAGGGCGCAATATTTTTGTATAAGTGATTTTTTAAGATGATATTTAGGGGAGAGAAATGAGGGAGTTTTCTTTACAGGAACATGGTCATAGCCGAGCTATTTGAATCCAACTTTGCACAGCAAGAACTGCAGCTGGTGAATAAAAGAAACACTCTCAACTTACCGGTGCAGTGCTGACACCCTTCTTCATCTGCTCCTGCTCCCAACGCTCCAACTCAGCAACATCCTCACGAGCCATCTCATCACCACTTTGCTCCGCAGAAACGGCATTAGTCAGCACAGTTTCGTGAGCCTCTTAATACCGATACTCTGGTACAAGAAAGGCAACTGATACAACCAGAGTAACGATGGAAAGCATTTTTTCAAGTCACCAAAAAGGTTTCATTCGACCTCACCCTGGGGGTGAGAGCTAGTATGTAGTTCCAAAAAATATGGATCACGTCAACTGCATCATCTAAAGTTGACTGCAGCAAAACAGGTTATGTTCATTTATGTGTTAACTTGATAGTCTTCCTGGACTGTCGAAAAATAATAAAGTAAAGGTCCTCATGCTGTTAGTTCCTCAAGATGTGATTATTAACAAAAACATCTCATCGTAGAAGCCCACTGTGAAAGCAACGTGCGATTAATTACACTTTCAGTGTCTACTCTTGACTTAAAAACTCAAGCGTCTGCCAAGCCTTTGGTGTTCAAAAGAACTGCATACCTGTCTACCATTAATAATTTACCTACCAGCAACCCCACTTGGCACACTGAAAGCTGCCTTAGCAGCACTGCCACTAGCGAAATTTAAGTGGGTCTGAGTGCACTTACAAGTGATGCATTGGGACCTAGTCACAAGAACAGCCAATGCGTGAATGAAAGGTTTCAGAGAGGGTGGCCAACATGAACTGATAATCATATCTTTTTTTCTTTCAGTTTAATTTAGAGCCACCCGATGAGTTGCTGAGCAAAGTCAAGGCGGTCGTTGTTTGCGAAGGTGCTGATAATTTGCTGCCGAAATTCATCCCATGAAGACAGTGTTGCCCCGTGGTTCTCATACCACGTACGAGCGCTGTCTGCTAAAGCAAAGTAGGCGCGTGAAAGCTTTCGCTCGGAGGTCAAGTGGTTTGCCTTAGCAACTCGCTCATACTGGGCTAACCAGTCCTCGACGTCTTCATACGCCTCATCATGGAATGTCTCCGGAATCTGAGGTTGCTCTAAAGTCAGCTGGGAAGCACCTGCAGTTGCCATTTCTCTAGGCGGAGTGCTTTGCTGGGAAAGCTCCAGGGGAATCACATCAGAACTAAGGCCTCGCTGTCGGCGACTGTAGCGGTGGACGTGGTATCCACTGAAGGAACGGGTTCCGGTGTCGGACTTGAAGTGCCGGATCGCGGAGGAGTCCCGAGCATCAGCCATAGAAGCCCCGCACCTCCACCAGTGTCGCAACATGCAAAGAACAGGACACAAGGCTTCCTTTCGACGTTAACAGCAAGGCTCTATTCACATACAAAAACAAAGCGCAAGAGCAGACGCGCAACGTTGTCTTCCTCGAAAAATGCCGGAGACTGCCGCTTGTGATGCTGGCTTCTTCGTCCTTTTGTGTTTACGGCTAATAACCGTGACAATATCATGGTTTGAGTGTATTGCAACTAACACAACAGCAGGTGAAGAAGGCAGAAAGAGGCTTGCGTCCCCGAGGAAGGAGACAACGACTCCTTCAGACATATTCAAATATTAACAGCTCCATAGCACATCTATTCACAATTATCATCTGCATGTTTCAGTGACATTTTTACTTATTAAGCATTTTATTCTTTTAAATTGATAAAGTTTAGGGCACCGCACGATTGGATGACAGAGACTCTGTCGATGATCCAGAAGAAGATTGAAGCGATTCGGTGAGTTGTGGATTCAGGCCACTCTGAAAACAAAAAGAATTTTATAAACGATTGGCCATAGTTAAAACCCGGGTCATTAAAAAATTAATAAATGTCATCTTATGTCAGCTTTTTAGCACAAAACAACACAAGTAATTCAACAGTATAAGGAATTTTCCTTTTACTGAATAACACCCATATTTCACAGAAAATCAGATCATAGACAGCCATTACTAGCATGCATATAAAGTTATACAATTCATGCATAATCAAGTTCTGTCAATTTGACACCAATTCATTTGCAAGGTGCATTCAGTAAGGATGGACGGCAAGGTTCCAAGGATGTAGCATGGAAAAAGGAGGGCTTCTCAAGTTGCTAGAATGTAATTATGGAGCTTTCACCCCCAGTAACTGTTAAGTGACAAACAATTTGACATAGTTCCCTGGTTCACTGAATACTGAAGCATCACTAAACCATTACAGACGAAACAGGCAGGAAAAGGCCTCTAGACGACCCACCTTCACTGAAAAAGGGTGCTTACCTATAGTGCTACTGGTCCACGAAATTCTATTCCTGTATCTGGTTGCTGCGGGTCCCTTTGAAGACGCTGGATCTCCTCTGTGTACTCCTGTCACAGTAAAGCAGAAGTGAATTGCGGTGTATTCTAAGCACCGAGAAAAGGAAAAGCAGGTCATTTTGCAATAAAAGAACAATCCACCACTCATTCCTTACACACAAGTTGCTTCACAAATAAAGGAGTCAGAATCGAGCAAGTTGATTCATGGTGAATATAAATGAAAAGCATGCTTAAAACAAGAGCAATTTTATGTCAAAGCAAGGCTTTGTGATGGTTTTAAGTGCACCTTTCCTTACATTTTTTTCACAAGTCAGGTACATATACATGGAATTGTTAGTATGGATCAATGCTAAATAAAAAGCCCCCCCCCCCTCCCTTCCTCAAGTAACAGAATAAACTCAGTATCAAGGTTTACAAGAATCATCATCATCAACCTGACTATGCCCACTGCAAGGCAAAGTTCCTCTCACATGTTCTGCCAGTCAACTTAGTCCTATGCTTGCTGCTGCCATTTTATACCCGCAAACTTCCTAATCTCATCTGCCAAACTAACCCACTTACCTTCTCTTGGGATCTAGACTGTGATCCTTAATGAATAGCAGTTATCTTGGCTTATCTGAAATTTCAAAATAGAGCGGTGACAAGCAAGCTACAATGGCACTGCAGACTACTGGTGGTACAGATAAAAAAAGAGAACTTTGACTAGATAATTCACACTGAAAGAAGAAAAACAAACACCTGGGGGACAAGTAAGAACAAAGCAATAAGGCAGTGTGCTTGAGCTTTGCTGGGGGGGGGGGGGGGGGGACTTGGGTCGGCCAGAAGCATAGTGCCCTACTCAGGCCATGTTTATAATCGAATGGGACAAACCTATCAGAAAATTTGTGGACTACGCTCATGATCCATGATGGCATTTTTCTTAAGGCCAGGGTGCCCGGCATGATTGCAATAATGCTGTCAAAGCAAGCACCAGCAAGAAAGCGAAAAGCACAAGCAAGAATATTGAGGATGTTTAAGAGGCTTCACAATGCATGGTTTTACAGCAGGCTTATTCAAGAAAGTGTCACTTAGTAACACAGAGTCATCTGAATTGCTTACGTGTGCTGCAAAGAAACTGGTAAGGTAAATATATGCAGCATCATTGTTCAATCCGTCCTCACTTTGCTTACAAAATTAAAAAAAAAGCGGCATGACAATTAAGATGTCAGGAAACAACACAGCTGTTACAGCGGAACATAAGTGTGGGGGGGGGGGGGATATTCAGACGCACCCCTCCCCCCAGATTACGCCGATGCTAGAGGTCAAAGCAAAGGAGACGGAAAGGCTTGTCTAAGCTAGTGGACTATTTGTGTCGTTGTGTGAAAGAAAAAACAGAGAAACCTCAAGGTTAGTTAAGCCAACGCCTCCTAAATATTTTCAAAGCCTACGCCTTCTCAGGTGACGCTAGCGATCGCTGTTCTACGAGTCGGTTCCTCAAACCGACCCTCCCGTCC